GGAATTACCGTGTACTAAAAGTTTGTATCGAGAAAGAATAAACTGGTTTAATCAAGGAAGGACTTGTATAGCTGAAGTTCCTCAGCTATACCTCTTCTATGTGTGATTTCACATTATATCCCATCAGTCAAAGCCTTGAACCTTTGGTTATCTGGAAATGCCTTACTTGTGTTCAGTTTGTCCAGGAACTAATACTCCAAGCTATTCAGTTGAAAACCAAAAACTTCCTCTATTTTTGTTTTATTTATATCAGTTTTTCTAGTTTTCTGAAAACAAAGACCCATGTTTTTTATTCTAGAGAATAAAAAAAAATCAATTACAACTACAATTTCTTGATCTATGAAGGTGCACAAGTAATGATAAGAACATTTCCAAATTGTACAAAAATTTTATTATCTCACAGAACAGTATTTTTTTTTAATGTCATCTGTTTATTTTAAAAATTCACATAATACATATGAATAAATTATATGGAAATAAGAAAATAGTTTTTCTTAAACATTGTTAAACAGATCTAGAGAATGAGAAAATCTTAAACCAAAACAGTTGGTGTAGCACAGCAAACATTTGTAAACAATCCTTTTCTTATCACCAAAATATACCTTTACTGTAGACTTTCTTGTTTAATTAATGTGGAAAATAATTTCCAAATAGATCAAATACATGCACAGACATATATTTCAGAATAATTTTTTTTTAAATATAGCCATGACCAGGGATTGACAAATACACTCAACTGCTTGTAACTAGTATATGGGACTTTTCCACTGGCAATACTGTTTAAATTGTTTATACATTCACATCAAACTGAAGTTTCAGCAGTATCACTTTGTATTCCTAAAAATTCTGCTATCTGTTTCATCTCACTCATAATGTACACACACAAAAGACTGCTTATATCATAGGAAAATACCAGAGGTGAAACAACATGCAGGTCTCTTGTGTAGTGATACCATCTAGGGGACTGGGGCAATCAAAAACCCACCTTTTCCCCCATTAACAATCTTCCCTCCAAGCTATGCATGTAGACTATCTTTCACAACAAAACTAATTGATGTGATTAGAATGTAATCTTAAATATAAATTCACAATTTCTAATATTTAAAATGTAACTTAAATTACCTAATGCCACTTTTAAGCAATTTCTATTTTGTGTATTATCCAAGTAGTTTCAGCAGCCTCACAGCCACATCAGATTGATTATTTTGGTTACAGACCCAGGTCCCTCCCAACACTGATGTTTTATCCCAATGATGCACAAGATCACCCTCCCATTACTCACACCACTGCACAAATACATTCCCTCCTCTGACACAACTTTGTTTCTTCTAGGCCAGGTTCCCTCTAGTCTATCAGTTCCAAATTAGGGATGGCTAAAGATTGCCCTTGAGTAATTTTGCAAGAATATCCAAAAGAAAACAAAATCTTAGCCAGATATTTCACCTGTGGCTTATTCACTTGCCAAACCTCAGTTTATT